TACGTTCGCGTCAGGCCCGGTTTTCACACATAAACAAATTTTAGGCAATGCATTTAACAATAGTAATTTTTAACCTTAAGCACTCTTGCATCCAATTTCGGAAAAGGATTTCAATTGCCGGCTCCTCAGAACTGACCTTCAAGTAAAATTTGCCCGTCAGGAGTTTGATATGATCTTGAGTTGGACTCTGGTGGACTATCCTGATTGGTCTACTCGAAATAAACGTGATTGGCGGAAAGATAGCACGTTCTACTTCAACAATTTACAATGAAACTGTCTCGAATCAAAACTACATTGCGGGGATTTCATTCTTTGCTACAGTTTCAAATAAACTGATAAACATTTCCTGTTGTGACCATCACAAGTAGACGTCGTGCGTTAACACGTCAGGACATCACCAGGTTCACGGGATTTGACACTGAGCCAGCCGTACGTTCTCCTTAAGCCTACAATAGACGATTTTACAACCGAATTGAGTGTCTTTGTAAGCTCCTATGACTATTATCCAATCAGCGACCTGCTAAACTCGAAACTTGACACAGAATTTCAAGCAAATTGTTGTGGACTCAGCCCAACGGCCGCAATTTATTGTTAAATTGAGAAACCAAAGGGCCTCTCCACGTTCCAAGCAAGAAGAATCGCTATCCTCAATACTTTAAGCCAAAGCCACGAGAACGCAAGAGGTAGTTGCTTGTTTCTGTGCGATTCTTTCCGCGTGTCATAAGTGTTACTACGTAGCAAATTATATTGGGCATTTAAGTAGCCATTTTATTTCACAATTTTGAAATAATTTTTTTCCTTATCTACCCTTAGCCCGATCGCGTGGTTATAATTGCAAACGTCTTCATCTCTCGGGTCCAATTTGCATGATGAAATCAGGGCGTGGTGACCATCATTTTCGAAACTTTGGCTCCGAAGTCTGAGAATACTTTATTCATTTGGTCGGCCAGGAACCACTGACGCATCGACCCGATTCGGCCAGTTGTGGGCGCGGTACTTCAAGATCGAAGTTTCAACAGCAAAACCGTTGGCAGATGCGGTTAGACACTCGGAATTGGGCTCCTGATGCAATCAAAATCCCGACCTAGCGGACGTCCAAGTTGGATTCACGTGACCGGTTTCATTGGGTTTTCACAACTTCGACGATGACTCATCGGCCAACGATGTTAATCATCACGTTGACCTCAGGATCGTGCCTCCCAAACACTCTCCAATGAGAATATCGACCCTGCTTTGCGCAGCCTAACACATCCCATTGGTGGACTGGGGTTTGACACTCCCAAAACCCTGACCGATGGTCGTTCTGTCACCGCCTGAATATGTGGGTTTTCATCAATCAAATGAGACTAGCTAGATTTCGCTGGTTCTCCGTATTTTGTGGTAACCAAGTTTTAAACACACCATCAATACGCGATCACTATCCCACGCTAAATCTGCCTAACTATAAGCTAATTTACACGACAAAACATTGTTTTCCTAGCTTAATTAGAATCTCTAAACGTACCCAAAGCAGTTACTCAGGGAACGCTTTGAAACCGTTTTTCGACATCTAAGTGAGGCACACAGTTTGAGCTTGTGGTTTAAGACCAACTGGTATCACGTTGACAGTCAACTCGCAAGGAGAAAAACAAGCTTTTTGCAAACAGATCTTAATGGGTTTCAGGAATTTGAAAGTGGGATTTGATCTCAGTCTCGAGCAGACAGGATTTTTTCAGATAAGCCTTGGCTCCGAAAAAATCGATAATTAAGTCCCATGCTTGACTGGTGTGTCAGTAACTTTACACACTTGTCACGTGATGGAATGACGAAAAAATCACGCAGACAAAATCAATAGCACACATTAAATTAGATAGGAGGAGGAAAAGGTTGCAAAATTAAGGATACGTGTTTTAGAATCCCAGATATTTCGGTGACGCTTGCCACACTAGGACCTCGATTTAGCGGCCAGTGGTTGAACCGGCTTCGCGTTGAAACATAACTCCGTGCAGCAGACTTAGTAGTTAGCAGAACCGTGACAGAATCAGCGCTTATTTCACCAGACTTTCTGCCGATAGTTCAGGATCGAAGCACGTCGAGTCCTAGTGTTCTGACCCTTCTATGCCGTTGTCTTTCACGCAAAACCTGCCTAGTGTGACGCGCTCACTCGCTTGCCAAGTGGGCATCCTCACTTGGACACACGACAAGCATGCAAATTCACCATCGATTATCCTCGATTCCAAGGCCTGCCTGAGGAATTCCTGGATGCCTGATCCCCACCAAACATCTTGGTTGGTAGTCGCCTTGTCGGACGTTTCTGGAGGACAGTCTAGGTACACCGCTGAACAGTCGGTTCGAGTAGAACGAGTGACGCGAGGTTGTCAAAGCAACACAAGATGTTATCACTCGCATTTAACGGCGATCCCACACAGACCCTCGGTGTACTGTCACAGTACCTGGCCGCTTACCTTGCAGTCAAATACTTCATAAACCTTTGCCAATCGATGGCTCTCAAGTAGCATTCGCCAAATCAATGAGGCAGTTAACACGGTGTCCGACACATCGGCGTGTTTTGCGGTTGCTATTCAAAACATTAACTTGACGTTACAATAGTGTTGGAGAACGATGGACTGCCTAGAAGATAGTTTAAATCACCAATGAACAAATCATTCACAATGTCTTAGACAGAGGGTATTAACATCTCGTTCCCGAACCCCTGAACCCCCAGATTTGGCGAATCTCTCGCTGTCTGCATCATCCGGCAACATCGATGGACTATAGCTGTTTCCAAATGAATCGAAATGTCAAGAATTTGGACGCAAACAGCGTGTACGGCCAGGTAACCAAGCTCTAATCATGTACAGTTCTACTTCGTGGAACCCTAGCCGCACTAAAAAGTCTTCTTTTGCATGAATACTCCCATCGAAAGTTGCATTCGATGGAGAGAAGTTTTTTCCGCGCTGGAAACTTCCAAGAAGACGAACTGCTACAGATCTAAGTACACGTTTCCAGTCAAATCTTCACAATCAACCAAACAGCATGTTAGGGCACTTCATCGCAAACTGAAGGCCGCTTTAACACTTGCCAGGGGTCGATTTTGTCAGAAGAAGCGTTACGACCCATGTAGTGCATTAAAAGCGTCGTAGTTAGGTCCACGTAACTACGTCTGTAAGCTAAAATCCCACAACTTTGCAAAACATTTGCAATCTTCCGCGTTCAAGGAATCCCCGTAATCGGTGTTTATGGTTTTACCCGTCGGCTTAATCAATCCACCTACGTGGGACATTTCGGTGTTCTCAAAAAAAGACGCAACGGCGAAGAAGAACCCGTATCGACCGAATCCCTACGACGTAATCTTGAGACAACCAACCCCGACTGCAACAAGCTTGTCCCAAAACTGACGTCTGGCCCTACAGATTGTGAGCAAACTATCGTTCAACATGTACTTTGTTGTCATAAATGAAAAAGAACAACTAGATTTTTGCACAACTTAATCTTAGAAATATTGTCCAGCGTTGTCAATGACCTTGAGCCATCTCTCTGGTAATAGATGAATACCGTCGCGGAAAAGACATACCTTTCATCACCCGTCGCAATTTGCCACAAGAAGCCTATTCAGTGGTTGTTGCTGGCGGGCAAGCAGTGAGAGGCATGTGTTCTTGTGTTGGCCTAGGTTGCGTTCGGTCAACCCATATGGGGAGACTCAACATCCAAGTTGTTGAATTTTAGCCCGTTTGTTGGTGCAAACGCCAGGAAATAGGTGCTTGGACGACTCCTAACTGAGCTGCAGGCTCTTGTTGCGTCTGCGTTGAGACTTCTTATCCATCAGAGCTAGCGATTGTGCATCTTCAAGTAATCGAGGCAGCTGTTCGGGGCACGGCTGGTGACTAAGATCGAAATCACCACTTATAACAAAAAGTTTGTACCAACAGACACATGTGCCATGAGATACAGCGTCGGCAGCACCAAGAACACTACAAATTGATTGTCTCCGTGCTTCGGAAGCATTTAATCCTTAATGTAAGTCGTATAAAATGCAGTGCCGTCGACTGTGCCGTGCATCAGTTGTCATCTTCGTGAACTCTGCTGCTGCGGGAGGTAATGTAACTCACGTAGACTTGTCGTTCGGTGTTGTGAAACCTTGCGTTCAACCCTATCACAAGCAAAAAATACCGCGAAAATTATTCCCATTTAAAAACAATTTTAAACTTGAAGAATAAACCTGAAGAGCTGTTGGTGATCACCACTTCGACATTAATTGACCTCAGACGTTTCGTGAATGCTCCTCACTAAATCTGAGTGAGGTGTTTTTAAACTCTTTTACTTGACATCCACTCTTCTAAGGATGACATAAAATCACACCGTGCAGTGAGTCATATTTCGTTACAGCAACAATTGTGTCGTACTTCATAAACCATCGTCATGGCCGAATTGAAAATTAACCCAAGCGATAAAGTACTTATCGAAAGTCAGTAGTAATTTTCGAGCATAAAAGTGCGTAAAAGTTGTAACATTGACGTGGTCACGCGTCGTCTGAATCAGTACCTTTTTACCGTCTAACAAGCTACGCACGGGTGTGCGTTCGTGCATGAAGCAACACCTAGCCGCCTAGTTTACAACTTACCTATCTATTCATCAGTGCCGCGGCAGAACTGTTTGACAGTCACCCATGCAATCACACCCGACCATAGCAACGCCCAAAACCAGGGCCACATACACTTACTAGCCATTCGCCTTCGCATTCCTCCTCAAGTGACTATGCCCTTCGATTTCACCGGCCCCAACTAGCACACCCTCAGATACCAGCACAATACCCATCGGCAGTCATGGTCACAAATCCTTGGTACGAGTTAACAGACACCAACACGCCTCTAACGTTCACTAACAACTTCAAGACGATACATACACACGACCACCCCAAAAGGACCGGTTAAGACACGACAACCAAGAGGTATGGCCCTAAATAGGACCGTTGTCACGTTCTCCAACACGCCAAAGTGGACGCTCCACCCGCGATAAACCAATTAGGCCTTCACGGCCTTCTTGGATGCAGGCTTCTTTGCCGTCGCCGCTTTGGGCTTCTTAGCAGCGGCGGCGGCGCTAGCCTTCTTCACGGTCTTGGCCTTTGCGACCTTGGCTTTGACGGCCGCCTTCTTAGGGGTTGCCACCTTCTTCGGCTTGGCGACCTTAGGGCTCTTCGCCTTAGTAACCTTTGGCTTCTTTGCGGCAGCAGAGGCTTTCGGCTTTGCGCTCTTCGTAGCCTTGGACTTCTTTTCAGCCACCTTCTTGTCGGCGATCTTGAAGCTCCCGGAGGCGCCTTGACCCTTGTTGCCGACACGAATCAGGGACCCGCTTTCCACACCATGAACTAACGCCTTGCGGATGTGCGACGCAATGCGTTCAACATCCACCTTGAAGTTGGCAGCAATGTGCTTCTTGATCAATACCAGGGAGGTACCCTTGCGGTCATTGTGAGCAACAAGGGCAGCCTTAATCATATCAGCGACAGGCGGGTGAGCTGCAGGCACCTTCGCCTTCTTCACCTTCGGTGAGGCAGCGGACATCACGTCGACAGGATGGAGAATCGTTAACGCCACGAAATCGCCTGTCATTTGCTTATATAGGCCTCGTGATTCTAGTGTCATCGTCTCTTAAATCCAAACCAATGAACGCTGCAAGGCTCATCGAGTAAACCAATTACCGGCTTGCCGTAATGTGATTGGCACAAGGAAGGGTGTGGGCCATTTTGATTGGTAACAGCTTCCACGCGAGACTTAAGCATGTGCAGCGGTTGATTGTGAGAAACCAACCCCAGTGCGAAATTGGGACTTGTTTTTGCTTTTGTTGACCTCGATTTCCAGACAATGCAAACACATCTAGGTGTTTTTTTTACCATTTTCAGCAGCATGCAGAACTCCTCTAGTTATATATAAAGTTGATTAAGCGATATTGCTAAAAACGAACCTAAGATGAAGAGATAAATAAGCATTTGACCGTTCACATTTTCTAAAGTCCGCAATTTTGTCCGGATTTTGTACTGATTCAACAATGTTAAAGTCAAAGTAGTCTATAAGGTCATTCGTTACAGTGTTTTGCACGTAATATCTTAGAATTAGCGTTTTACCTCTTACTGTTTCAGCAATAATTCGAAAAATGTCACGTTATGTTTTCAACACGAAGTATTCCGTTGAGCAATATCGGTGTGCATTTGGCGGTAAAATCTTGACTATTCTGAGCAAATATTAACGCAAATTGGTATTTAATATGGCATTTCATCTGAAATGTCAAAAAGTGGCAATTATTTTGATTTTCAGTGAGTAAAAAGCCAATCTCTTCGAGATGGCTCCTGTTACGAGAATGATTTGCCTATAACCTAATGAATGTCATCTGTCCTGCGCTTAACATGAATCATAATGTATGTATTTATACTTTGGCAATCTGCTTTAGCCTAATCATCATCCAGGCCTTATAACGCCTAGTTAGAGCTAAAATTTAGTGTATTTTGTCCATATTGGGCAGTTATGCCACCCATTTTGTCCAGCAATTGAAACCAAGTGCTCTTTCTAGGGCCCAAAACGACCTATGTCTGCAAATTACCCCCTTGAAATGCGAAACACACTGTACTTCCAACAAACAGCATCATTTTCGTATATTACAAATGAATTTCAGCAATGTGGAAAGGATACCTTGTCAAACCAACAGGAGAAGTAGCCGCCGTTTGACTAAACCCACAATCCTCTACCTGATTCCTCCTATCCTCTCTCCCTCATTTCCTCTTGTTGCATTCAAATTTTCGCAATGTTTTGACAAAGTTTGGTCTGACACCATCTTGGTCCCTAATGTTCCGACACAGCCGGCATCACTAGCTCAGCCACGTGGGTTTATCACAATAACCACGCAATCCTGTCTGCAGTAGCTACCTTCTTAACACCCAAGACCTGTCATAAACTGCACTTTCAATGCATTTAAAGAGAATCCTTCGACGTCAATTGTTCGATGTTTAAACATTAACCAACTCCTCGTGTTTTGCCGTTGCTTGCGGGTCACGTTTTGGTGAACATGATGTCTAAAAAATTTCCTTGTCCCCTGAATGACGATTCACACAGAGGGTAATTATCAATGGACGCTCGATGGCAATTGTGAACCGCATTAAAGTATTTACTGTGTTTACATTACTGGCTGCCTGCATCACCTCTCGGCCGGCAACTCTAGTTGGCATCTCCTAAGTTGTCTGACTCCGTTCTGTCCCCACCCCCGCCCACCCAGCCATCTAAAATCATACGTATGACTCACTCGGCCACCGTCGGCACAAGACTACTGCCCTCTACACAGACCTGAGCTCACATCGGGCTGTTTTATCCATTTTAAGAAAGGATTTTGCACTCATTTTTGAAAAACGAATGCACACCAATCGTCCACCCTAACTCTCACGTCACCGGGATTCGACGGCCACTGCTGGCCTGTTATTTTCGACATAACATTGCTGCTCTCTAAGATTTTTAATTCCAGAAAAGCAGTTATAAGGAGACGGATATTATCAGTCAACACACAAATCGTTCACACCTACCAATGCCTCCACCTACTTGAGCGTCAAGGCTGAGAACAAGAGGGTTAGGCGAGATTAAATGTCACAACGAGACAAGCTCGCTTACAATTCTGTGCTAAGTCGCGGTTCTACTTATCGATTGATTCTGCCGTCTCAGTACCTAGGAAAACCCTCTGATTCAATCGCTCTCTGCTGAAAATGAGTTAGCATGTTGTCATTCATGACGTCACGTAGCTACCAGAAAGATTGATTTCCAATAATGGCGTGTAGGTCACGCACCACTGGTATCAGAGACACGTACACAAGGACAGCGATGAAGCCCTTCCGTGGAGAACACTTTTCACCCTCTGTTCTAATTGGTTCTAACCACGGCAGGGGTGTGAGAGTGGTGACTTAGAGATCTCCTAATCCTCCAATCAAATCCGATTGTCATCGAATTTCTAACTCCCCACCCCGAATATTCTTTAATCAGCCTGACGCGGCAGATTTTATTATGCCTTGAATGGGTGTAGGTCTAGTACCCTTATACTACTCGAACCGAAAAAACTTTCGATTCAGTTTGAAAAATTTTGCAGCCTTAAACTTGCGCCCTCGTCAAATTTTGTCTGCGTAATCAATAAATGTCAAGCATTAGTTGGGCTTCGAGGACATGGCCATTACACGCATTTTACGATCATGAAGCACACATTTGAGGAGAGCAAATTGGATTTGAAAATAGCCATGGTCCACCCTCCTCCCCCCCTCTCCATATGCCATCTGGAACCACCACCTGCGACATCACCCCAGCTGTTCAGCGCCCTCTTGTTCTTGACATCTTCCGTCACCTGTGGTTCCCAAGTCTATATGCCCTGCCCCATGTCGAAAAGCCATCTCTGAATGCAATGTTTGGTCCCTGTGAATTGGTTGGTGGCTGTCACTAAACCGGTTGGGTTCTCCTTTTCTCGTGTGACTCATTCCGATATTTCTAGACCCTGATTTCCAACCATAAACACGAACGTGCAATCACGTGACACAAGTTCGTTGCAACGCGTTACCGTCAGGATTTGCCAGAGCTAGCAAATACTCGTATTTTCGGTTATGATTGATATTCATGTTCACAAACGTTCAAGGCAGAGTTGTGCTTAATAAGGTCGGTTGTGACTGAGGTTCTTTTGAGTTGCAATACGCCTGGTCACACAACAAAAATGAATGGTGTGTGAGTGCTTTTAGCTTTGCCAGAAGCTGGTATAAAGCAGACGATGAGAGACCTAGGGATGTCACGTCTAAGTTGGGAATCACATAGAAACTGATGGGAATAGAAGGCCATTCTGCAGTTGTTACCCTGCGATCCATATCTGTTCAGTCGAACACATCCTTGTCGACCTCCTTCATCTGACCTCCATTGATTAGACAATTGCTATTATGCACAAAAGCAGCACTCATCCCGGTAGAACGCTGGAGTTCCAATTGTTTCCGGTGTGGGCTTATTGATCACAGCCTATATTAATCGTTCGCCAGCGTCGTAGGAACCTAACGTTCACAAACTCAGGGACCAAACCTGCATCGCTTTCCACTCCTTCTACATCTGCACACCCGTATCCATAAGGCCATTGTTTTCGTCCAGTGACAGCCTCCACGCTTCTCCGACTGCTTACTCTGCTACTCAGTAAATGGGTTTTTTTATAGCTTATGGTGTGAGATCAGGGGATTCGATACCGGGAAAGCGAGATATCACCACCCAAATAAGTCCCAGGAATTTTCGACGCGTAGATGCAACGCGACTGCCTTGCCAACAGACAAGATCCGTCTTTAGTTTCATGCTTTGTTGGCAACTAATATCTGAAATGGTAAACTGATACCTTAGAGGCAACCCACAACACAAGATCTTTGAAATCCCACGGAATCGACATAATGACCACATTTTGATGTCATCCAGATTTCAGTGTGGTTTGTTTTGGGCAAACATAAATGGATTATGGCCGAATTAGTTGACGCCATTAGAAGCAAGCGGTATCTCACCAATAATGGTGAATTGCTTCGAACAGTGACATTTTAATTGCGTTTGGTGGGTAGCTCTCAGGTCTTGAGTATATTTCTCCAAATTCATGTCAAGTCAAATACAGTGCTCTGAAAGGACTCCAAGTTCTTGTGAATGAATTCCGGTTTCTACGTGCGGCCAAGATTTAACAGCCTCAAAGCAATTTCTCGCAGCATTATGAGCACGATCTGATTCAATTGACTCGGTTGGGCCATCATTACCTTTCGCAGGTCAAGCGGAACGAAGCTGGTCAAAATTAGTTAAAATCGTCATAACCCTAGCATTTAAGCAAAAAACATTAGCTATCTTCACTTATGCAATCAACCCCACAATCCTAACAAGTCACCTTTCAACCATCAGAAGTATTCTTGCCTATAAAGAAGGTACTTAGCAAAAAGGCCGGAAAGCCTTAGTCTTTGGGAACCATATTAAATGTGCTTGCAAGTTGCTCAAATGCATGACAGTGACACGACACTATTTATGGAGACTGCAGTTAATTGTTTGCCAACTCACTAAGTTCTTGCTAACTAACAACCCCCAAATCCCAGCCTTGCAGTTATTATCAATTTGACGACAAAGACTGCACTACCGCTAACTTGATACCCGTCAAACACTTTCAGTTTCAAAGCATTAAATCTAGTGAAAATTTAAATTTGACTTTTCGCC